TTACAGGAAGCCAATGTTGGGACTGACAGAAGGGTGAGGCGTGGGAGGTTCGGGCAGACAGGAAGATGAGCCTCGCCCCCGCATTTATTATGGACTGTAATGGCGCAAGTTGGGAGCCCGTACAACCACTGAGAAGCGGATTACAATAGTCAAGGCGAGAAAGGACAGTGGAATGGACCAGCACCCTAGTTGCATCTGGCGTTAAGTAGGGTCGGATGCGCGCAAAGTTTTTGAGACGGAAACGACAGGATTTGGCGATAGACTGAACATGAGACTTGAAGGAGAGTTCGGAGTCAAAGAGAACACCTAGGCAGCGAGCCTGCGTGGTGGAGCTAATGGTAGCACCGCTGACTTGCAGGGAGACAGACACAGGAGTAACAACACTTGAGGGAGGAAAGACCATAATTTCAGTTTTGGTCAAGTTGAGTTTAAGGAAGTGGGCAGCCATCCAGTTAGGAATAGCAGAGAGACAGTCAGAGACACTACTCAAGAGGGACGAGGAGAGATCAGGAGAGGACAGGTAGATTTACGTGTCATCTGCATAGAAATGTACATTGTACATTCTCTTTTTGAGGGGTTTCCTTATCTCCAGGAAGGACAAGCTCACTTTGTGGGAGTTTGTGATAATTTATTTTTATAACAAAGGAGAACAAGTAGGAAGCTAGTACTCTATAGGAGAAATATAGGAGGTACACTAGGGGGTAACCATTGGGGAAAATAGTAAATGGAAAAGAAAGAAAGTGTGGTCCGTCCTGGTAGTACCACTAGTTAAATAAGAATTAAATATTAAAACATAACATTTATTGTAATAGAGTTAAAAAAAATCAAGCGCCGCTTACTGGTGAAACGCATGTCTAAACAACCTAACGTCATTCTTTTACCTCTTTACCACCGATATTTTGATGCGTTTGCTTAAATATTGTATGTCTGATTTTTTTTCCTGGTAAAATGTAATATCTTTGATGTCAGTAGGGAAGGTGTAGATCAGCCTTTACTTTAGCGCAAGATAGCAGTGATAACGGCGCATGAATTTGACTTCACCACTCGGTAGTGATTTAGGTGCCCTTGAAGGAACAGACTTAGGGTTCTTCGATTAGACTTGTAGCTATCAGGATGCCACCACCGATAGTTTCGAATTTAGAAGACATTTAGGTGCCCTCGAAGGCACAGATTCAGTGCTCACTTAGTAGCAGGGCCGGTGCTTGGATTTTTAGGTACATAGGCGAAGATGCATTTTTCCGCCCCCCCCCCCCAAAAAAACGTCTTCACCTATGTGCCTCTTAACCAGCCCCTCTCCCCTCCCCGACCATTAGTGGTCCCTTCCCTGTCCCTCAGTATTCTTCTCCCCCCTCTTTTCCCTGTCTCTTGGTGTTTCTCTCCCATTCCCTCCCTGTCTCTTGGTGCACCCCACACCCCTTTAGTGGTCACACTCCCTTTCCTGGTGTGCCTACTACCTCTATTGTTGCATTGCCAAGCGGAGCAGATCCCCTAAAGGAGCTTCAGTTTCCTGTACCCGGCCGGACTGACAGGGAGTACTCTCTCTGTGAGCACCTCCTGTCAGTCTGGCCAGGTACAGGAAACAGAAGCTCCTGTGCCACGCTCTGCTCCGCTACACTCTGTACACACTGACAGTCACACACTCAATGACAAACACACAGACGTCACTGACAGACACAGACTCATTGATTTGTCACACACTCATTCATTGACACTGACAGACCCACACTGATTGACACTCATTGACAGACACACTGATAGTCACACACAGACTCAATGACAAACATACTCTCACTGATTTGACAGACAGACACTCATACACTGACAAACACACTCATTATACACTGACAGACACACTTATACACTCATATGCAGACACACTCATACAATCACTCACAGACACACACAGACGCACTCACACACACAGTCACTCACACACACACGCTGTCACTCACAGACACACACAGACACACAGTCACTCACAGACACACACGCTCAATCACTCACAGACACACACTCTGTCACTCACACACACAGTCACGCACAGACACACACACTTTGTCACTCACACACACTGTCACTCACAGACACACGCTCAGTCACTCAGACACACACACTCACTCACAGACACACACGCTCAATCACTCACAGACACACACACTCTGTCACTCACACACACACTCACTCACAGACACACACGCTCAATCACTCACAGACACACACACTGTCACTCACACACACAGTCACTCACAGACACACACACACAGTCACTCACAGACACACATCACATACATTCACTAATTATTTTATAAATAGACATTTTCCACCCAGCCTCCCTACCTGGAGAGCTGGTGTGGATGATGGATCTGTCCCTGAGGGCTGGGGCTGCTGGGAGGTGTGCGGCAGTGCTGTGATCAGGCGCGGCGAGGGAGCTCTAATCTCCACTCTGCTCCCTCGTGGGCTGCCTACTGATGCTGCGGGATGACGTCATATTCCGGCTCCCGCGGCATCAGCAGGCTGCGCGCGAGGGAGCAGAGAGGTTAGAGCTCCCTCGCCGCGCCTGATCACAGCACTGCCGCACCGGGGGTCGAGATGGTGGCCTGGCAGGAGGGAGAGCTTCCCTCCTGCTGGTCACTGAAATATTACGCCCCCAGAGCCCTGTGCCGCCTTATGGATGCGCCGGCCCTGCTTAGTAGACACTTTATTGTTGAGATCAGTACTTATACTAGTAAGTGTTGCTCCTCTTACACGTCCAATACCTTCTATTTCATATATATGGTGCCCTGATTACATGCTGTAGTTCTCATTTTACTTACCTTATCCTTACACTGCTCTCTCTTTGCACTTTTTACATATTCCCTTTTTGCTAATAGATAAACTGTTGTCTTGAGGGTATTTATCCCTCAATCTGGATTCTGACTCATCTAGATATTTGGAGGATGTTGCCTATTTGTCTGGTGAATATTTAGGAATATTCCCCCTTTAACAGGGTTTTATCATTACTTTTTGCTATATGTG